ATACAACTGAATGCCAAGGAAGAATAAATAGACAAGACAGTGTTGTAAAAAAGTAGTCATGGGCTGCGGTATAAAACTTGAAATACACTGGGTCATTTTGATTGTCAGAACCTATAATGTTCATCTAAATTCTACTTGGTGAGACACAGTGAGCCAGGAGACTGCTCCAAAATATGCTGCTTAAGAGCATATACTCATTTGTTTGCAATGAAATGTGATGGGCCTGTAGGTCTGATTAAGGAAGTATTCATATGCTATGTACTCCACAGTGCTCTGATTGAGACCAGATCCCTGCTGGAAATCCCGCTGCTTTTCACTGCTTCGAGAACACAGAACGTGGCTTGCATTCGCATTCAGCTCAGAGGTATGATGAACAGCCTGTTGTCTGGTGTAGCAGTGTGCATTTATTTTAGGCTTTTTTTGGAAGCAACTGACCTACCTCCTAAAAAAAAAAGATAATGTAGCCTAGTCAGTAGCTTTTCACAAGCGCATATTCCAAGTTAGGTGCCCAGTTAGAATAAAATAAGGATTGTAGGTGGCACAGGGAGTGTGTGTTTGTGGGTGTCACAGCATTTGAAAAATGAGTATGTATCTGACACAGCTGGATGCCTCCACTCTTGCCTGATGACTGTTTTGACAGTTCAGTAATAGCCTGTGTTGACAGTCAAGGCTGCCTTCCACGAATGAAAGCAATTCAACCCGTGCTATTCAGACTAAAACTCCTCTTTCACAGTAATTAGATTCTTGACTAAGATGATTTTGAATCCCTGGGAGCCCAGTCGAACTTGGGAAAACAATTAATCTGGAAAGGGGAAGTACATGCTTTAATTTGGGCCTGATGGAGTGTTTTGTTTTGGAGAAGGACATCTTTTTGAGCATTAAGGAGTTGCTTCCTTTACATCTGGGTAATTTGTCAGAATGCCTCGGGATGATTTGCTGGGAGCAAAAAGACTGAGCTGTACAGAGTTGCATTTTTTTTTGTATGCTGGAAATTAGCTATTTATTTTACAGTGTTATTGTCAGGACTTTCCATCAGCGGTTAAATGTTAGTATAAACAAAACAGGAAATGCTGGAAGGGTCTTGATTTCGCCAAACCAAATCTGCCTCTTGACTACCTCCTCATGTCTGAAATGAACTGGAAAAAGCACAACAATCATTCATTCCATTTTTGCAACGCAGTGTTGAGGCCTCCCATTATCAGTTAAGTACTTGTTGTCACAAGGTTAAAATAAAATGCTGGATTCCAAATAGCTTTAGGATACCAGCTTCGCTCATCCTGACTCTGACATCCTGCCTACACAGAGGTTGATTTCCTAAAGCTGGAGTGAGCTTGCATAACCAGGATCACCTGTGGACCCTCGGTGAAATGGAAAGCCCTCCATGAAAAGCCCACAACATGTCCTCTTTGTTTTAACCTGTTAATCTAATCTAATCATATGAGAAAAACAATAAATCCCATCCCAGCTATGTTTGCTGCGTCAGAGAGCGGATTAGGAGGATTTAAAAACAGTGCAATTCACCAAGAACCTGTTTTTTTATCCTTGTGGTAATCTCCTGAAATCTCACTCCAACTCATCGCACCATTTAATGTTTCTAGTACACTGTGTCTGAAAAACAAGATACAAGATGTTACATCATACAGGCGCACAGCAGCGTCTTATGTAATCTTTGTTGAGAAATGATGCTTACCACACTGAAAACGTTTGACACTCGATCAGTGATGGTGTCATGAATAGAGTAGTGCATTATAGCACGGTGATCTATCACGGCTCATCGTTTCTGACTAAGGTCCACATAGTATCATCAATAAAGGACCCTTAAAATTCAAACTTCAGGAAACGCTACTGACTTTATTTTATAATTAGAAAAAAACCCATAATTTTATAAAGTTCAGGTGCTACTTTGAGAATAAAGTGGTAATGTCAAAAATAAAGTCAGCTCTCATAGATCTAGTAGTTATTACCACACTTTATGTGCTAAAAGTGAAATAATATCCTCATTACTAAGTCTAAAGTATGATTTATCTTAATATATGCAAGGCATTTGGCAGGGGCAATCATGACAAAGTTAGCGAGGCAAGGCTGAGATGGTTTGGACATGCACAGAGGAAGGTTCATGGATATTTTGGGCAAAGGATGGTTATTATGGAGCTGCCAGGCAGGATGAAAAGTGAAAGACCACAGATGAGGTCCATGGATGCAGTGAAGAGGGGCATGCAGAGGGTTGGTTGCTAAGGATAAGGTGAATTGGGGGCAAATGATCCACCATTGTGACTCCTAAGAGGAGCAGCTGAAAGAAGAAGACTATTTTGTAGATGTTGCCAAGTACTAGCAAGTGTAGTTTGAATCGAAACAACTTTTTTCTAACTTGTTATACTTTATTCTTGAAATCTTACAAAATTTTGACTTTATCCTTATAATAAAAAAACACAAGATAAAAAAAAATCCTTTAAATGTAATGCTTATATTATTTTGGCCCTAATTCTCCTAATCCCTCCTAATCCTTCGTAGGTATCTGGGCAGGCAGAAACTTTACGATTACTCTTATTGTAACCTTTTACTGCTTTGTCCATGAACACCTTATGCTCGTGTATTACTTTCTACCGCATCATCTGTCAGTTAAAAAAACTTTCCCTAACTTTTCCCCGCTGCTGTGCATCCTTTTCAGTATTCTTCTCCCAGCACCCAGTCCTCTCCTTCCTGTTTATGCTGATACACACACGCCCATGTTGTGAATGCACAGTATTATGTCCATTTACAGCCGTGTTAGTATATTCAGAGATTATTTTGTAAGCTGTTCTAAAACCAAAGTTGTTTTCATTGTTCTAAAACAAAACAAAAAAGTGTTATTATGGATGCAGCCTTAGTCTCACGAATTGTTTTGGGTTAATCCCTGTGAGTTTAATACTGATGAAACTCATCGCTGTCAAAGAGCCAGTCTGTTCCACTTTCATGCACCGTTGGCCATTTGATATCAGATTTCCCACCTCCTTTTGAACTTGAATTTACATATAAGCTGCACAACAATATTAGTCGCCTCTATCTTAAAAGGAGTCATGTTTTAATTAAGGATTTCAAAATAATCAAAGGCCCTAACTCCAATGACAAGCTCTGCTTTGTAAAACACGCAGTTACTGATGACTTGTCCCTGACATTATATGAAGGATTACATCTGATCCTTTTCAATCTTGATGCAATCCCTAGTCCCACCCAGTGTTTTTATTAAGATTAAGCTACAATCTCAAAACATGGATGCTTAGACTTGAAGAAAATTGATTTGTTTCTTTTGAGGCTGCTGTTTGTCTCGGCAGGGTTCCCTTCATCATCGACCAGCTATATGCTGTCTTAGCTCTTTTATGCAGTCAACCTCAGGGTTTTTTCTAGGCTCTGAAACGGCCTTTGTGGGGTGACTATACGCAGCAATAAAGCCTGATTGATCTACATACAGTAGAGGCCATAAGTCAGAAGAAAAATGTGCATTTTCAGGCTTTTTTCCAACCATTTGATAAAATGCAGCCAATATGCTGATGCAGGGTTGAGTAAATGAAATCCAAATGAACAAAATTGGTTTGAATGAGTTCTAAAAGATTGTAAAGCTGTGGACTAGAGGGGACGTGACCCCTGGAATTCAAAAGACACGTCTGCTTGTTGAGTAGTTATTTGATAAAGTGTTATTTAGCTCTTTTAGAGAGGATTTAAATTGCTACTTTTATTCTCAGTCCCTTAATCATTTGGTGCTGGTTGATTTTCCTTTGGGGGCTGGCTAAAAACCTCTGCGGGGGGTGTGCCAAAAATGTCTTTATGCAGGAAAAACCCTCTCACCCACGTACTTTATGTTCCTTCAGTGCAGCGCATGGGAGTCTTTTCTTTAGCATCTTTCATCTCTGTTGTTGGAGTGTGTAATTCTGTCATTTGAAGCATGTTTTGCTGAATTAAAAAAAAGAACAAACAAACAATATTTCAGTCACTTCAGTCAAAAAAAAAAAAAAAAGCATGCACAAAAACACCAAACACCAAACAGTAAGAACAAAGCTATACAAAGTAATGCCACCTTCAGGGTTTGAGTCACAGCTGCTTGAAGAATTTGTCACTTCAGTCAAAATTTAGTGGTTGTGTTTATTCTGCAGTGTTCAAAGTGCTCTGCTGTGTTTGATCAAAAAAAGATGCTGTCTTTGAAGAGCAGGCCAGTTGCTGCTTTTTGTCTGGGCTCTTGACACTCCTGATTTCTACACTTTGCTCTTTGCCAGATAAGCAGCATGCAGATCTTTTTTTCCTCTGCCAGATTAATGCAACAGGTTTATATGAAACATGTATATTTATGATGGCTCACTGCAGGATGCACCTCTGTTTTGAGCTAGATAAGATTTTTAAATGTTTGCTGTAAGCTATGGCTTCTGAAAAAAAAAAAGATTACTAAAATAATACAAAATCAGACATAAGCAGTTTTGGAAAATGAGGATATGAAGCTTTCAGGAGCTGGTGCTTCATGTTCAAGCTACACATTAGGGGATATAGGGTGTATATTGCATTTAATTTTTTAATTTATCTTTAGTTCATGCAGTGCCAGCACTTATCTACTCTACACTATCTATAAAACCTCAATCCAGGTAAACTTAGTTCCAGCAGTCAGTACAGTCATTCACTTGCATTTTTTTTTTTTTTGGGGGGGGAACTAATCCATCTTCAAAACTTTGAAAGGGAAGCCAGATTCATTCTCAGATCCAATGAGAAATATTCCCCCTAGTGCTGTAGCTGAGCACAGAGAAATTATTAGCTGATTTTAAGGACTGATAATGGCTCCGCTGTGATTTGGTGGTGTCAGTACGTTGCGGGTATAAAGCAAAGTTGAAACTTTCATTCCGACTACCTGGCCACATGGCAGAAAGAGGAGAATTGAAGCAGGAGATATTGCTTTTTTTCTCTTTCTTTTTTTTGTTCAGGATGCCTCTTAACTGCATCTGACAGTTGGAAAGGAGATGTGAAGTTCTTTTTTTCCTTTTATAGTATTATTGCTCAAATAGCATGTCCTAGCTAGATACAGAGGAGTTTTCAGTTAAGACTTTCAGTTTCCACCTGGGGGGGGTGGAAAAAAAACTTCAGCTTTCCAGAGACCAATCTGTTCCTTCTTCATTCATCACCGGGTCAATGAAGGCTACGTGTTTATTAGTTTGGCTTTTGGTCTGGTCTCTTGTAGAGTGGAAGAGGGTAGAAGATAGACTGCTTGACTCATACTGCTTTGACCGTTTGCAGTAGATGCAGCGACATGGAGTCAGATAAAGGTAGATGAGGATAATCGTTGTAGTCACCATACAGCCGAGCAGCGTTGTGTAGCCAGTGTTGAATAACTCTGCCGTGGGCAGCAGCACCGTCACGTTCACCTCCCGAGTTGCATTCAGTGCCTGTTTAATATCCACAGCTGTGCACACATACAGTCCTGAGTCATTGACCTTGGTTGCTCGGATCTCCAAAGTACCATTAGGAAGCAGGTTAATTAGATTGTCATCTATGCTGGCCTTGGTGATGTGCCCCTTGCTTGGGGAGAGCCACGTAAATGAGAGATCTGTGCTCGTCAGGGATGTTTGGCAGTCTAGACGGATCCTTTCTCCCTCTGAAACCAACACGTTGGAAAGGAGAACTGTTACGGGCTGCAAAACAGGTTTTTCCACAGTGCAGTTGAGGAAGAATCGGTTCTGTTGTAGAAATTGGATGGACGATCGTAGGTCTCCGTTAATGAAGCAGATATGCTCCTCCTTAAAGTCCCTCACTGAGTCATAGCCCCTCAGGTCCCAGTGCCAAAACACGCTGTACATGGAGCAGTCACAGATCAGAGAGTTGTTGTAGAGATACAGGCCCCGCTGCACCAACCTTGGTAAAGCTTTCACATCCTCCCATTGCAGATGGGTCAGTCGGTTGGATGAGAGATCTAACATGCTCAGGAATGGATGAGTGTGATCTTGGATTGAGAAGAAAGGGAAGTCTGTGATTTGGTTGAGGCTGAAATAGACCTTTTTTAAGCTGCTCAGGCCACTCAGTGCGCCGGCCTCTACCCGTGCAATCTTATTATTGAAGAGAAGGAGCTCCTCCAGCCTCCAAAGCCCCTGAAAGTAGTGCTGCTCTACCACACGAAACTTATTGGAGGACAGGTCAAGGTGCCTGAGACCAGAGACGTTTTGAAAAGTTCCAGGATTCAGGGCTTTGAGTTGATTGTGCGCCATCAGCAGGTTTTCCAGCCTGGACATCCCGTTGAAGCAGCCTGGACTCAGCCAGGAGACATGGTTGTGGCTGAGGTCGAGACTTATAGAGAAAGAGGGCAGGGAGTGAGGTAGCTTGGTAAGTCCGCTGGAGCTACAGCTTACTGCATCGGATATACAGAGGCACATGGAGGGGCAGGTCTCCTCAGTGCTGTGGAGAAAACAGAGCAGTGCCAAGAGAAGGCTTGGATTTAGTCCGCAGGTCATGTTTTTTGAATCCTTCAAGGTTTCTAATCCCTCTGGTTCTCCCTGAAAAGATAAGAATCAAATGAGAAAAAGGGTGATATATGAGAAGGGTATCCTATTTTCAAGTGTTTCAGGCTTTGAGCTGTTCAGCCATACTGGAGCTCTCAGTATCTGTGCTACAGTAGAAGATGAAATGGTTCACTTTAGTGACCATGAATCCTTTTTAAATAAAATAAATAATAATAATAAAATCCTTTTAAAATATTTGGAATGCTTTGGAATAAGAAATCCTCATGCTGGGATATTTTCAAATGTTTCAACAGTCAGATTCACTCAGACTACTTATTCCTCTATTTAGTGATTATGCCTCTGTAGATCAGCAAAAGGGGATTTTAAATGACAAGACCTTCATCTTTAATTCAAAGGCTCTAGCAAAGATATTGCAAATATGAAATAAAAATCTTTTCCATAGTCATTCTATTTGCACAGACCCCAAAGTCTTTGAATAATTAGACATTTTTAAATATAAAGACTGTTTTTGACTGCCTGAACTTGAAGACATCACCATGCATGTTTGTTCCATCTTTATTTTGGATAGAAATCATGTTTAGGTGAGTTGAGATCAGGGCTTCTTTCTCAGTATATTTTATTATTCAGTTGTGAAGTTCCATTCTGCAGCATTTCACTGATCTTGCGCAAAAAGTCCAACCAAGGTCGTTTTAGAAGCAAGTCTCGCCAGCCGTTATCTTAAAACCCCTCTGGGTACCTATTTTGGAATATTTTTAAAATTTAATGAACTTTCAAAATAGAATCAGTCAGTCAGATCAGATAAAAAAACATTTAAAATCAATGCTGAGTTTTCCCTAAAAGTATTTTTTCTTTAAAAAAAATACTTTTTACTACAGAATTACTACAGAAATCGACTATAGTTTTCAGCTATTTTATGAAGTCTCTGTTACACCTCTATACACTTACAGTTATATACTCTTATTGTCTTGATAATTTGTTTTGTTTCTGTTTTTCGATTCTAATGATTGACCTCTTATTTTCCATGTTCACCTCTTTTCGATAAACGGCTACACAATAAAAATACTTAACCCAAACCAAACACTTAAAATCAGTTTCTTAATTTGTCATGAATAACGTGTAAACTGACCAACCATGAACTGCTCAGTTGGCTCGCTTAAACCTAATTCTTTGAAAAAGGAGGACTGTGTATAAAATTGGCTGTAATTTCTAAATGGTTAAGGTAATGTTCTTGCTTACACCCTTGAATTAAAGCTGAAAGTGCAGTGCAATCACATCTTGATTGCTTCATTTAAAATCCATTGAGTGTGGCACAGTCTAAATTGTGAAAACTGTGTTCTTGTCCAGCTACACGCGGACCTGTATACACAGTAATCGCTGTCTCTAAATGACAATTATTTTTATTGTATCTTGGCACGTCAATTCTTGTGTGTTATTAACTGAGCATTCAGCAGCTAACAAAGAGGCCAAAGCCAAAACTTTCAAAAAGGCAGACGTAAACTGAGATTATCTGCAATCACAGCAGAAAAGTGTCTTTCAGCCTGCGACATAAAGCTTTTTTCAGTTCAATACCTCTGAACTCTAACAACTCATCTATACCAAACTTACAGAAAATAAATGCCAACTAATTTCCCTTTAATCACCAAATTCACAAACTGACTAATCACCACAGCTCTATATAATTAAAAACTTTTCAGCACATTGTGAAAGCATAGTGTGGACATACTTTACCTTCAAAAATGTTTTTAAGTCTTTATGAAATTAAAAGCTCAAAAGGAGAAAAGTTCACACTACTCCCAGACAAGTGAGCAATTTTGTTCACTTAGTTAATCTCATTCTCCCTTCCAAAAAAAATAAAATGAAGAAAGGAACACACGGCCAAACCACAAATCCAAAATAAACTGCTTAGCGACAATACGAGACTCCAACTTTCTTTCGTTTTCCCGCTTTCAGAGTTGTATCCCCATCAATGAATACCCACAACATAGCTGTCTAATCCTTATCTCCTTTTGGATCCTCCTCCCGAGGCGCTCGAGGAATAATTCACGGCTCCCGCCGTTCTCCTCAGCTAACTTTAAGGTCCCCCTAGCAGGCTTTTTCTCCTCTTCCCAAATGAGAGTGCCGCTCGAGAAACATCCTGCGGTGCTTTGCAGTGTATAACAAACAGCATAGAGCTCAGTTAATCTCCCACAATCCCCCCTCCTTCTCCGTGTCATTTAGAGACCAGTCTTGTGTCTCCCTCTCTCATCATTAAGTAATCATGCTGGTGGCTGCCCTCCTTGTTCTCTCTGACTCTCTTTCTCCATTTTTAACCAATATCAGTTTTCCCACACTGATCTGTTAGTGTGCTAGTAGATTTGTATGATTTTGCTTACTAACATATTAGCAGAGCCCAGGAGCTTTACACATGAATATTGCATGTGTTATCCAGTAACCTTTCACCAGTAATCCCAGGGGCATGAAACTTGGCTGTGCTCGATGTGTTTTTGTTTTTTTGTTTTTTTGTTTTTCTTTGAGTATGTGTGACTGTGTCTTAGTGCTGGTTTTCTTAATGCTGTAAATACACCTGTTTTTTCTGTGAGCTTGGAAACCCTCTTCATCTTTTGGTGTATTTTGAAGGCTTTCAGCCTCTTCGGGTCTTTTTCTCACCTGTGTGCTCTGCGTCTATTTGAGTGGTTTTACCGGTAAGTTGATCGACATTAGCTTCCTCCTGCCCCCGAACATGCACACATTCACTCTTCCTCTAAGTGCCTTATGCAGTACATCCTCTGCTTTCTTTCTGAACCTCTCTTGGCTGTGGGTTTGACTGGATATATGCTGTCCATGGTGCTTGGTCATGGTGGTCCTGACAGCTCTGGTTTCTGTCACAGTGAATTAGCTTTGCCTCCCAGCAGCCACCTCCTCTCTGCTAGCCCCAACCCACCACCTCCCTCTGTGCAAGTGCTCGGGGCTTTGACTGACTCCCACTCACTCACTCACTCACTCACTTTGCAGAGGCACATAACCTGATTCCCCACGGATTCAAACTCGCTGGACGGGCTTCACTTCTCAGACGGTGGGGTAATGGAGAAAGATGTCGGTGTCCACAGAAATGTGGATGAGAACGACTAAGGAGGAATGTTAAGTTCAACAAGAGATCGATTTAAAAACCTGCTCCTTAGTTTGTTTGGGGTTTTTTTTTGTTTTTAAAAATGGGTTGAGCATGAAGAAAACACATTTGGCTGTGTTTGTGCTGAAATGAAAAAGCAATGACACAATCTTGTCCCAGGGCTAGTCATCAGCTTGGCTGCAACATGTAAGAAATACATACACCCACACGTGTACATTTGAGATATGTTAGGAATGGATTCTAAACAGGCCCTTCTTGTAGGTGTTATGTTTACGTGGGCTTATAATGTGGCTCAAATGGCTCCCTTAGTAATTTGTCTATTTGCCTGCAAATTGAACCTTGTCCTACTATGAAGAAAGCCTTAATCTCGATAGCTTTTTAAATATTCACCTTTCATTGATTGTTTTAAAGTGTTATGTAACACTCCTAGCACCGTTTGTTGAATGGGCTGCTGAATGTATTGCTGTAGTGTTAGTCCCCAAGTCCCTGATTATAAGGGGATCACATATGACCTATAAACCAGAGTGTGCATAAGCTGATAATGATTCATGAGTTTGGCATATGAGGCTTTAAATTAGGTGCATGATTGTGCCAGTGTGATGTCGCTGGCAGCATTTGGTTTTAGCTTCGGTGTAACTGTGTGGGGAACGTATTCTTTTGCTCAGGCAGGCCCTTGTTTTGCTGCTCTTGATGTGGTACCTTATTATTTTTGGTTTTGACTCCCAAGAAGTAAAAAGACTTCATTGTTTTTGTGTGCACTCATTTATCACTGTCCTCCGAGATCAATTCAATCAAAGCACGAGGAGGTAAACAAAAGAAAAAGAGTTGAGCTTCTATGCAGCTTATTCTCCTAAATTGCAAAACAATTATTTTTGCCCTTTTCTGCTGATTGTCTCTCATCATACAGTAATAGTCCGTGTACTTTTAACAGAATGAGGTCCCCTGGAATGTCACTTTTAGCACCTTCTTCATCTCTTCCACCTTTTTTCCACTTGAGATTGCCTGCAGATCTTTTTGGGAGTCTCTATTTGTCTCTGCATGTTCCGGTGTGCGTCTGTTGTCAGGCTGGTGTCTGTTGCTTCAGCCCGCTGTTCTGTAAAATCCCTAATCTAATCAGCATCTTTGTATCCAGCTGCTTCGCAAATCCTGCCTCCCTCCCTTCTCATATATGTGATTGGACTCAGCCAATGCAAAATACGCTTGTCAAGTCAGCCAGGTTCAGAGTGGACCTCAAAGCTTAAACCCTGACCCTGATGCATCCTGCCCCCAGCAGAAAGTGATTTTTTCTCTTTACCATCTGCTGCAGGGAAGGGGGAAAAGGGGGAAAAAAAGAAACGCAGTGGTGCACAGCGAAACATCTGCTCTTATCTTGCCCTTGAGAAACTGCAAGGCTCGCTAAGAGTCGATAATATAAAGCTTTAAATTCTCAGATGCAAGAAGAATATTTTTGTTGAACATTAAAGACATGCGGGGATGTAGAAAAGACTATTTCAGACTTCTTTTGTTATTATACTTCCTCTTACTTAAAAATAATACCTTGGTTCAGAAAAACCTCCCTGAGATTAAACATCTCTTTCAAGAAAAACCTGACAAAGAGAGATGAACACAGGTAAACAACATTACACAAACAACACAAAAATAAAACATCTCTCCGAAGGATATGTCACACTGCAGAGCGAAAAACACTCCAGCGTGAGTCCTAAATGAAAAATATGTTAATATCACAAAACATTTGGTGATGTGATTTGAAAAACAGATTTGAAAAGCTAGAGTGAAGGAAAATCAGGTGAAATAAGTCATGTCAAACTGAGAGTCAATCACTGAATAAATGACTGACATTGTGACAGGTTAGGTTGAGACACAAAAGCAGGTTTGACTCTCACATTATTGCGCAGGAAAGTCCGACATGACCTCCCAAGTCCCGCAGATGAAGTGTTTCCACTACCTCTGTGTGCCAGTTGTGAACCTTTGAACCTGAATAGGTGTACCCTTGTTCAGTGTCTTTCAACAGCTTTTTGTTAGCATGGCTGGCAGCCAGGTTCTCAAATATAAATGAGTCAGTGCCTGGGTAAAGATTTGGAGCGTTGCATTTTATTTCTTTTCTCTCCCTGGGCGAATTTGCAGTCTGGATGAGTTCTTTGCTGAAAAGGAGTTGCAGGCAGTATGAGACTGTTTGCTTGTCATGAGGAGCTGCTCAGATGCTCCATATGTTCTGTGTTCACTGTGATTGTAGTGCATTATTCAAGAATATCTTACTCAAAGCTCCCACAACCTGGTGAGGTTTTTTTTTGTTTCACGTTGCATAATCTGAATCACAAACACAGCATACTTAGGCACAACATGACTATCTCCACTTTGAAATGTTCTTCATTCATCCAGTCTCTTGCATAAAGTGACTGTAACTGTGAAGAGACAAGCACCCCATCTAGTGGTTTAAGACTTTAACATTCCAGTTACAGTATTTTTGTTATGTTTTCTTATTAGAATTAACACTTCTACAAAATAAATAACATTGATTGAAAGCATTAATCTGTAGCATTTACATGATAACAATGAATAAAACTTGCTAGAAGACACACAGTACTTTAATAATGATGCAGTCAATGCAGTCTTTATGTATTGGTTCAGTTCTGGATAGTGACTGTCTTGTGTATATTTCGTGCATATTGCCTGAATCAGCAACAGTTAGCTTAGTTTAATGGTGAACAATTACTAGCCTTGCCTTGTGGAAACTCACTCATTTAATTCATTTAGCATATTGTTTACTTCATATCCAAGCTGCACATATTAAACACATGATGGATAACTTGATAAAACAACGTGGTAATCTAGCCTTGCTGGCTCCCAGTGCTTCCAGCGCTTTTTTATGCTAAGCTAAATTACTGTGTGCCTGCTTTGGCTCCGTATTTAACAGACAGTTATGAAATTAATATTGATCTTGTTTTAATAGTGCAATTTTGTTGATTGCGTTAAAAAAAACAAAAACACTGAAAGTTCTGGACATCGTTCGATTTTTAAACCCGCTTGAATCTTGCAGAGCGTGAGGCGGAAAAGAGAACAAATTTAAATTTGAAAAATGATCCCTCACTGAGGTGAAATCTCACCTACCTGCTTTCATGCTCAGATGTTTGGTGTTTACACGACCGTCGAGTACAAGCGTAACTATCGATTATCATAATAACACGTCTTGATGCGTATCAGTATATGAAGAGCAGACAGAGGGCTCGGGGTGTGAACTGCCCATGTCTCCTCAGCCTCTATTATCTCTCTTGATTGTTACCGGATTTCAATTAGGATTCGCAGGAGTTAATATGATTGCTTGCTGTTTACCCTTTCTTGCTTCCTTCCATGAAAGCCAATTATGCATGAGTAGCAGCAGATGACTACTGGACACTGCTAATAGCTCTGCTTCTCCCTTTGTGTTCACATTACTGAAGGATATGGGTTGTGAAATGAGATCGCTACTGACTACTGTGCTATCAATGATTGTGCTATAAAACATTATGGGCCAGAACATAGTAAATTGTGTGACGTGACTGTGGGGTGGCTGGCTCTCTGCTCATCCTCTGCTCTTTTATCTGTTATCTTCTCATCCCTTTATTTTTTCCTGTTTCTGTCATCTCTTGTTTCTCTCCTCGGTTTCCATATCTCCGCTTTGCCCCCCTTCCTCCCAGATCTTCTGGCAAACCTTCCTTCTGTTCCATTCCTTCACTTCTTGCCTCATCCCCTCTCATCATTTATTTCTCGCCTTTCGTTTATCCTCTCAACTTTTATCTCCATACATCAGTTCTTTA